CTAGGGATGGGCAATTATATTATACCGTATAATAAAAATAGTATAATAACCAGTATAATTGTTATAGAATAATTAAAAGAATCTGGTATAATTGGTATAATATTTTTATATAACATATTAACTAATAACAATTGATATATTAAAAAATTTATACAATTAATTATGATTAGATTAACTACCTTGATATTTTTAAAATTTTGTTATAAAAAATCTATTTGTTACTTTTTAAAAAATTAAAATACTATATAAATAATAGTTATATTTTAAATAGTTGAATATATTGTTATATAAAACAGTTGTAATCATAAGTTTGAACACTTTTGAACATTTTTAAACAAACAAATAAATTAAAATTACTCAAAATTTTATTAAGTTAACCTATTTTAACTCCCTAAACAAAATATTTAGCAATATAAAAAACATATAATTTTAGATTTTTTAATTATGCTGCGAACATTCTTGAATATGTGAACTTTAGAACGTTGGACATAATCTAAAAAGTCTTGAACATAGTAGATATGAAAACACTGGTTGGATATAAGCAAAATTTTACAATAAATCTAGGGGAATTTACATATAAAGGCCCAAAATAAAAATAATTACAGATGAGGGCCCAAAATAAAAATTCTTGCATTTAGCGGCTCAAAAACAAAAATTATTACAAATAAGGGCATGCCCGATCTCCGAGCTATACTAGACTACTAAGCCACAAGACACATTGAGTCGCGCAGAAAAAAATGGTAGCTGGATTAAAATAATTATATAATATCATTAAATAGTTTTAAGATGCAAGTGATATTTTTACGCGAAAAAAATAAAGGTACTATTCACGAATCTCGCCAACAAACTTATAGCTTTATGAATTTAACGCATTAATTAAAAAGATTTTTATATATAACTAAAATAATACGGTTATTTTGGGCATTAAAATCCTTTATATTTACTAGCTAAATAAACATTAATAAACAAGAAGCAAAGTATGAAATATTCACGAACTTAAATAGCTTATTTAAACTATTGATCAAAATTATATTTTTGTGAATTCAACATGGCAAAAATTCTCAAAATAAAATTGAAAGTCAAAACGAAACTCAAAAAGAAGATCAAAGTCAAAATAAAAGTCAAAGAGGAAGGTATAGTGAAAGCTAAAAAAGAATCAAAGTGAAAGTCAAAGTGAAAGTCAAAGTGAAAGTCAAAGTCAAAACGAAAATTCAAGTGAAGTCAAAGCAAGAGTCAAAGTAAAAGTCAAAGCGAAAGTCAAAGTCAAAGCAAATCAAAATAAAAATCAAAGTGAAGTTAAAGCGAAGACCAAGTGTAAGTCAAAACAAAGGTTAAAATAAAAATCAAACATAACTTTACCGGTAATCAGTTTTCGAAGTCATATGTAAACCAGAAAAAAATCAGGCTGCCATTTTTTCTGAGCAATGTTGTAAGAATTTTTATTTTGGGCCCTCATCCGTAATTATTTTAATTTTTGGGCCTTTATGTGTAAATTCCCTATAAATCTATATTCAACTATAACCGATTTATCTCTTGCTATAATATTTATATATAAGAAATTAGAAATTTTTTTAATTATTGGACTACAAAAGATAAGCTTTTTATTGATATTTTGTTACTACTTTTATATATTCTTACTTTACTAACAATACATTCTATTTTAAGGCTTCTAGCAACTTTTTTCTCACTATTTTATTTTTTCTACTATCAATTGTTATTAAACTCTAATTGGGTAAGTCACTTTTATATTTATCTATTTTTAGATCTTACTACAGTACATTACTAACAATCTTTTTTTTCTAACACAAAACCTCAAACTTGTTATTTTACTTCCGAAATTCTCAAACCTGGGCATGGTAATTATATTTTATTATTGATATGGTTATATGTGTCGGTCTTTAGGAGGGTGATTATGCATGTTTTAGTTCGATTATAAATACATAAATTGATTAGGTATGAGGCACAATTGTCAATTATACTCTAAATTTAATTATGAAACCTGGCATCGTGATTATATTTTATTCTCGATATAGTTATATACATTGGTCTTTGGGAGGGTAATTATGCATGTTTTAGTTTGATCATAAATACATAAATTGATTAGGTATGGGGCACAATTGTCAATTATACTTTAATTATGAAACCGGGCATCGTGATAATATTTTAAGCTCAATATGATTATATGCATTGGTCTTTGGGAGGGCGATTATGCATGTTTCAGTTTGATCATAAATACATAAATTGATTAAGTATAAGGCATGGTTGTCAATTATGCTTAATTTAATTCTGAAACGACATATTATAATTTACAAATTGAATCCTGTAAAACAAAAAAAATTAATCGTTAATGATAAAATTTTTCTTATAAATACTGTTAATTTTTAAATATGTAAATTAACATACAATTGCATAATGGGAAAAGCAAAAGGCAATGTATGGAAACACTGAACAATTCTTAATACAAAAAATCAATCTGAAGCTAGCTATGAAAACTGTTCTGAAGATAATTCTGATGACCATTTTGATGACTGTTTTGAAGAAAATGATGAAACTTTACTTAAAGAAAACATTACCAAACCACATCCTCGTATTAAGTGTAATTATTGTTCAAAAACTTTTGAACGTGGACTTGCTTCCCGAATGCAAATGCATCTTAATAGCTGTTTGAAAGCACCAAATAATGCAAAAGCAAATCTTAAGCAGAAAAATTCAACTACATTTGGTAAATCTACCCAAAAATATCAAAAAACTATGCCAATTGATAATTTTATTGATAGTGTAAATGAAAATGAACAAGAAACACTCGAGTTTATGTTAGCACAAGCAATATTCGCAACAGGAACATCATTTGCTTTTATAGAAAATCTATATATTATTAAGTTCTTTCAACGTATTCGTCCTGCATTCAAGTTACCAACTCGAAAAAAATTAGCAAATGAATTGTTGGATAAAGTATATGAGAATGTAAAAGCTGAATCTGATAAAGAAATTTTACAAGCGCAAAGTTTGTGTATAGTATCTGATGGTTGGTCAAACGTCAATCAAGAATCAGTACAAAATTTTATTATTTGTATACCTAAGCCCTTTTTTTTTGATGCAACATATTCAGGTGAAGAATCTCATATAGCAGAGTGGATTGCAGATCAAATAATACAGCAAATGAAAACTATTAATGTTGAAAGATTTTCTACAGTTATTACAGATACAGCTAATGTAATGAAAGCGGCCTGGAGAATTATTAAAGAAGAACACCCACATATTTTTTGTTTTGGTTGTGCATCTCACATTACAAATCTTTTAATAAAAGATATTCTAAAAATTGATGAAATAAAAAATGTAACAGATAATGCAAAAGCATTAATTAAATATTTTAAATCATATGCACAAGCTAAAGCAAAACTTAAGCAGATTCAATATGATAATTACAACAAAGAAGTTGCACTAGTTATACCAGCTATTACATGATGGGGCACACATCTTAAATGCTTTCAATCACTTCAAAAGTCACAAATTGCTATTGAGCAAACATTAATGGATTTAAAAATTCGTCAAACCATGGATTCGAATTTAAGAATACATGTGCTGCAAGATGAATTTTGGGAAAATCTTAATTTAGTAACAAATATTTTAACTCCAATAGTTACTATATTAAAATTATTCAAATCTAATGAGTCTACACTTTATCTATTTATTCTAACTTCAAAAAGATGAAAATTTCTCTTCAAAAAATTCCTAATACTTTTTTGAATGAAATTCAAATACTTGTAGAAGAACGTTGGAACTATGCCTATCATAATATTATGATAGTTGCTTATATGATGGATCCATGATTTTTAGATGAAAGTAAAGATTTTAACATTGAAGCTATGGGGTATAATACATTTACAACATATTGCAATAACAGATTTGAACAAAATAAGTCTGTTGAATTATTTGTTGAATTAGTTACATTTCGAAACAAAAATCCTCCTTATGACAATGAAATTATTTGAAAATCTGCCAATATACTTACTCCATCAACCTGGTAGCAATCATGGCCAAATACAAATCTTCAACAGCTAGCAATTAAAATTCTTCAAATTCCAACGTCATCAGCTGCAGCTGAACAGAATTTTTCCAATTTTGGTTTTATTCATAGCAAAATTCGAAATTGATTACATAAGGATCGTGTTAAAAAACTGGTTTGCATATATAGAAATTTGCAAATGTATAATAATGAGAACAAATCTAAAAAAACTAGTAATAGCTTGGATCAATTTGAAATTAGTAAGAGAACTAATGAAGTAATCACTAAAGAGGATGATGAATATAGTGAATTTGATCAAGATATAGAGGAAGAAATTTATAATAATATTAGCGAAATTATTGATAGCGAAAATGAAGAAATTTATGAAGCTTCTAATGCAGATAATATATCAACTTTTGAAATGAATATTGACGATTAATTAACAAATGGTAAATATATATATATTTTTTTTTGATATTTGTTTAACGATATATTATAGCAAAAGAATTCACTATAAACTAATAATAATTCAAAGTAATTTTAGGTTAAGATCATTAAATATTGAAATACTCTTACGTTTAATAGTCTAAATGATTATTATAAAAGATATAGCTTTTATAAAATATGAAAGTAAAATCCTCTATAAGCAATTATTATACAGCAAATGGTAATGATAATATGACTAGTAGAGCTTTATGAATTTAAAGGCGTTATATGATTTTCTTTTATTATTATCAATTAGTACAAAAATCAATATTAATATATTGTATTTGTACTATTTTTATGTTTTTATGTTTTTATATATTATTTATAAGCAATTTGAATTAAATATCATATCGCAAAATTAAGATTGATTCTTTAAGCTAATTGTATATAATATTGAATACATGCTTAGTTATTTCTTTATAATAATATTGGTTGATTAGAAATTCTCTAAATTAGATATAGGTCAAAATATAAAGGCTGAAAAGATTTGGTCTAAGTAACTAGATCAATTAAAGCTCTAGATTACGTTATAGAATTTAGTCACTAATTCATTCAGTATAAGTTTTATTTATTAGAGAAATTATAAAGTAAAAAATATTAAACTTGAAGAGAGTTATCCTTTATTTTAAAAAAGTCCGCTCTATATACAGCAATTAAGAATTGCAGGAATTTTAACTATTTTTGCTATTCTAATACTTTATTTATTCTTGTTATTCTTTTTTCTATAATTCAAATTATCAGAATAACAAAAATATCAGAATTTCTAAAAATTTTTTAAAAATGTTAGAATCTATAAATGTGTAGTACCTAGTGTTTAAAATCTATATAAAGAATCTGTGAAATGCAAACAAAAATTTTCAAAAATCTGCTGATTTCATTATGTGCCATACTTGTTATGTATTCTTTTGTTGAATTTTATAAGAATTGTGAAGTTTTTTATATAATAAATAAAATTAAATTTAAATACTAGTAGTATTTTGATATTATTTAAGAGGATACTTTTTTTATAAGGATACATGTGTAATGCTATCCTGATAGTATATGCTCATTTCCCTGATAATTATTTCTCTTACAGGTTATTTACTCTACATCACTCAGATAACAATTTAGCATTTTATTAGTTGTATGTATTGTTAATAAATTGTCATCCAACATGATGTTGGGTAAAAGTTGTAGAAAAAATAGTCATTGGGGAAATGAGACGCAATCATACTGATATATAAAACAATATTTATTAATTTTATAAGATTGTAACTATTATAATAATAATAGTTTGCATTAATATATATACAGTTAAACCTTTCTATAGTCACCCTCTATATAAGCACATCATATAAAAATTCTTTTTATAAGCACATTTATTTTAAACTAACTATTATAAACATATAGAAGAAAACTCTTTATAAGCACATCTTAGTAAAATTCTCTTTACAATCACACAAATCTTTATTCTAAGGAGTGTGAGTCTAGGAAGGTTAGACTGTATATATATATATATTAATAATTATAAATCAAGTATATTATATATATAATTATTATACGGTTATTATACAGTA